GAGACTATAAAAGAAAAACGAGGCTTATCCATTCTGCCCTATATTAGTTAGTCTATTTATGTACACATTATGTAACAAGTTGGGCTCTTAGAAGAATATCATGTGAGTTTACTAAAAAAAAAGACAAAGGACAGAAAAAATAGAGGCATGCCAGGTGGCAGAGGAGAAAAGGGAAGAAAAGGTACTAGAATGATGTTTCAGGTACCATGCAGTTCTGTTTTCAACAATATACGCGCATTGATGAGAAAGTTTTAATATCTATGAAAATAATTTTCCCGTTATCTTTGGGCAAATGCTATTGCGCATGAATTGTGTCCTTGTCTCGGCATTTCTGTGTGTCTGTTTTTAAGGGTAAATAGAGGTGTTTCTGCATAATGTTCATGTATTTCTGTATTTAAGGGCATTTGTTTTATGTAAATATGAACTGAATAGATTATACTTGACATTCTAATCTGGTAGTTCTTTCCCACAGAAAATAAATATCCTACAAACAGTACAAAGTTTTGTACGTTACATTTCACTTGAAATTATGACTTTACTGATCGAATTATTTAAGGCTAAACATACTTATTCTCTCTTTACTATCTTAAAACAACTTTTTCATGTTTTCTGAGTAATTACTTGAGCCCTTCCTGTGATGGGGAAAACACTTGTTATAAAAGCTATGTCTCTCTATAACCTGAAGTCTTAAAAACCAATAATGCCATTTGAAAATTCAGTATTTTCTTTGTCTATATGATAATCATGATAAAATAGTGGCACTTGAAAATGTCTGTTTATATTATAATAACTGAGCTACACACTTGATATCTATAATCATGGTCAGTCATAAAATCATAGCAAATTGAGATAAATTTAGTTCAGTCAAAGAGGATGCAGCTTCTTGTCACATGTTTTCCTTTGTGACTTGACTACTTTGCTCCAAGTCTCCTTTAAAAAAAAAAAAAGGAAGGAAGGAAGGGAGGGAGGGAGGGAGGGAGGAAGAAGGAAGGAAGAAAGAAAAGGAAAAAAGAAAAAAGATATTCAAAGGAGAGAGCTAATAGTGAAGCAGAAGAATTGTTCAGGACTTTACTACACTTTGCCAGTCTGTACAGTCATAAATGGTGTTAATTTTAATGGTGTTAATATTCCGTATTGTCATTTTCTAAATAGTGATAATACAAATAACTCTCAGCATTTTTTCACAGATTTCCTTCCAGAAGTACAGTAGGGTAGTCTAGACTCTTTTGTGAAATGGGGACAATACTACCTGCTGTGATATAAGAGTCCCTGGGATTGATTGATTAATGTCTGTTAGACACAATAAGACACCTGGGTTAAAGGAACTTTAGAAGTACAACACACAATAGTATTTATTGTATTTTTTAAAAACTTTGATTGGAATACAGACCTAGTATATTAAAGTTCAACATTTTAGTCTTGAAATCCTTGAGGAGGTCATTTGATCATTGCAAATACCACAGTCTGTGTCATTTATATAAAATGTAACTTAAAGAAATAGGCCTTTACAAGCTCTGTGTGAAATGTAATTTTAAAATGCTGACTGAAAACTAGAACATCATAGATGAAAACCCAATTAACAAACCAAGCTGCTTGATAATTTAAGTTATTAAATGCCATTACATGGGAATTGTTTAAATATATAAACAGAACATTAAATTTTGGAATATAAAATAATTGTATTAACTCGACATTTGTTTCTTTATAGATCTGTAATAGTATTTTAGTCTTCAGTTAGCTTGTCTAAGATGACTCAGCTTCACAAGTATTCTATGACCTATATAACAGCAGAGAACACTAAGGCAGTTTTATTACAGCCCAGATGGCATAATTCCTAAATTATATACTAATCAGGTACAACACATGTGAGAATATACTAATTCCTTGCTGTAGAAAACATGCAATGACAAAGATGAATAAGGGTTAATTACTGAGATCTAATTGGAAGCCTAATGCATATCCTGGAAGATCTGTATTGGAAGTCATAGAATTGTAAATCTAATATTTTATTAAATTCACTGAAGAAAAGAGTGATTAAAATGATCAAAACCAATAGTCTCCTACAAAAACTACAATTGATGGATAATATCATTTTCCTAATTCATAATTATGTAGATATAACTAAAAAAAAAATAAGGTAGAAGAGGTGGATCGTAAGCAGCTCTCATTATGGAAATGTTTTATATAGAGTTCTGGGCAGAAGCCTCAAGTTATGATAGTGGAAGGTTAGAAATATGACCCTTTATATTTCATTTTCTTCCTGAATATTAATAAGATCCTTAATAATAGTTCTCATTCTGGAGTTTAGCAGCTGGTATATAACAGGGCAAACAATAACCTTCAACTATTCTAGCTTTAAGAGAGAAAACTAGTATAATTGAGAATCCCAATAATTTAAATATGCCAAATAAACACCTGAACAATAGAATGCACTGAAGTCAGTAGCTCTATTTCTATATTATAGTCGACCACCTTTGAAGAGTCTAGACAGACCTCATTTGGGGGCTTTGACCTGTGGTTTGTTAATTGAAGTTTCATGGTGGTAAATTTAATCATGTGATTTTCTTTCCCCCTCCTTTATCTGTGTTCATACTAAGATTTCATTTATGAGCATTGGATAATAATGGGTTCTGACTACTGGTAAAACTACCCTTTAGCAAACAGAGATACTTCTGCTTAGTAATAATGTTAACTAATTATTGCTAAGTTATGTGTTGCGACTGCAACGTGACTTTGAAGTGACTATAGTGTGATTAGAATAAGAATGTGAGATAACTGTGATGCATATGAAGTGAACTGGAAAGTGGCTGTGCTGCTATGTTTATTGTAAATGTATCAGAATGATGGTTCCTATATTATTTTAAACAAGTTCAGAGCATAAAACAGGTGACAGTTGGAACAATGCCCTAGCTCTAATTGTAGATTTTCCTGTGAATGGCAAAATTATCATTCAGAGTTAAGGTAAAATAATCTTGTTTTGATTCACTCATATTATTGTATGAGGTAATAGTTTTCTTTTTAATTTTAGACATTTAAGCAGTCCTTTTTATTCTTAAATGTTGTATAGTCTAACCATACAAAATACTACTATTATAAGAAGGTTTTGGAGGGCTATTTAAAAACAGTATCAATCTATTGCCTTCAAGAAACCTGTTTTATATTTCACATATAAGAGATGAACCTATTTTACAGTGTACTTTAGGCACTGACTGCACTTTTGCCATGAACACTGACCTCAGGAAAAGTTTGAATTAAAAAGAACTTACATTGTCATCAATGTGGGGAAATTGTAATGTCAAGAGAGTTGGTTAAATAGTGAAATTATTTAGGCAATATCTATGTTTGGTGGATTTGCTTTGTGATATTTTTACTTCTAACTTAAGTATCTGGAAATGTGTTCATGTTGAAAAAGAAAACACTTTTATTCAAAAATAAGAGGTATCTTTGTGCATGCCATCATAGTGCAGAACTGTGAGGAGCCGTCAATACAACCACAGCTCAGTCCAGAGCAGGGGACACGGGCATGTAAAATACATGTCTTTTATCCTCCCTGTAAGTTAGACCCAGTTCTTCAATCACACAGCAAGGCCTTCTCAGACAACCTTTATAGGTCATTCAAAAAAAATTTTTTTTTTTTTTTGTTCCAAGTGAAATGTTATTATTAAAGCTTCAAACTTTACTCAGGTATCCGGCGTTGTAGGTAACAAACCCATTGTGTAAAGCGTCGTGGTTTCCTGATTTTAAAAGCTCAATCATACATAGAGATAGTCTCGTTTTCGGGCCAGTATTTAAGGAATAAAGCTTAATCCTTTCGGGAGTCATTCCATCCTGCACTTCAGTGAAAATGAGAAAACGTGTGAGTATACGCTGCGAAACGAGTCAGAGGAAGGAACTGCGCAGGGAAGGACACGTATTCCGCGTACACTTGGAATCAGCGGAAAGTGCAGAGGAAAGGAAATGCTCCACAGCTTGGGGAAGCAGCTGGACGGGACTCCTTCCAGCCTTTCGCAGGCAAAGTTTGCAGTGAAGTGAGCTGGGAGCGGGCCGTGCAGCAGCCGCGTGTCCGGGCGAGCTCGGGTTCGGGGCCCCGGGCGCGGCAGCAGAGGGGGGTGCAGACCGCCGCGGGCGTCCGAGCAGCTCCGAGGGTGAGACCGGGCGCCGCGCACCAGGCTGGCCAGGCTGCCCGCGGGGATCCCGGAGTCGGCCGCGCTCCCTTTCCCCGGCAGCTCCCGTCACCCTGAAGTTGGGGTGCTCCCATTAATTTGCTCTCCGGTCTCAAACGAGATTCAAATATTCCCTGCCCCGACCTTTCGCAACCCGCCCTCTGCGCCCTTCTGGCCACGTCCCTGCCAGCAGAAGCCTGTCGTTGCAGCACCGGGCGTGTGGTCTGCTGAACGCACTCGGGGGTCGGCGGGCGCGTCCTGCCCTCCCAAGGGCGACCCTACGCTTCGGGCCGCCGCCCCCGGGTGGACTCTTCCATCTTCGCGTGTTGGCCCCTCCGTGTGGACAGGGGAAGTGCGAAATGTGCGCCCAGAGATGAGTGCCCTTGGCGTCCCCGATCCGCCCGCCGCGGTGCCCGGTGCCCGAGGCTCCCTGGACCGGCGCCCGCACGCCCGCCGGCCTCCTGCAACGCCCCTACTCGCCCGACCGCCGGGCTCGGTCGTTCGCTGCCCCGAGCCGCCCCGAGCCGCCGCCAGCACCGCCCGCGCCCGCCTAAGGAGCGCCGGCGCTCGCCTCGCGGGCAGGACCCTGCTGGGCATGCTCAGTACGCCTCCTGGAACCCAGCTCTCTCGGGGCCAGGATCGGGGCTCCGTGTTTTTGCGGCTGCCGAGGGGGCGCTGGGGAGGGGGAGGCTGGGAGACAGTCAGCGCCTTGTTCTGCGCCCCCTCCCTCGCGTCCGGCTGCCGCACCGCAAGATGCGGGCCAATCAGTTGCCGGGGGCGGGGCTTTGTCCGTCACGCCCTCCCTCTGGGCTTATTGAGAGTTATATCAAGAAATTCAGTTCAGAGAGAGGAGAGGGAGAAGGAGAGAGGGGCAGAGGAGAAGCGAGAGAGGGAGAGCAAGCAAGACAGGAAGAAGCGCCCTAGAGTCTCTGAAACCAGAAAGAGATAACCGATTAGGAATTTTTCGGGCAGCTGTCACCCGGGAGAGCAGCCAGAGAATCACCATCACCCCAACTCTGACGTTGCCTACAAGAAGTTAGAGACTTAAGCAGTACTGACATCGGAGGGAAATGGTATGCTTGATGCTGTGGAAAATACCCCCGAGCTGAAGAAGTGCAACTGGATGTTGTGTGTGCTAAATACCAGAAGAGCCCAGACCCCGTGGGTAATAGAGACGAAATGTGGAGAGAATAACGACAAATCTGTGAATTTGTTCTCTGGAGTTGCTAATTTGCCAGCCCGAAGCAACACATTTCACAAGGAGAAAACGTTTTGCTGCTCCTGATTTCTCCCCAAACTGGTGCTACCAGATGCATGGCTTTCTATGTATTGGAACAAATCGTTCCTAACTGCAGCATACCGGGAAAGGGGAAAGGTTGAGGCAACTAACGTAAGTGTAAAGTTTCGCATGCACAATTGTAAATTCTGTGTTTAGATATGTCCTCAGTGTAGACGAGGGGTGTTTGTAATTGGGTAGACGGTTGGGGCAGAGCTCACCTACTAGGCTGTATCTGCATCCCTACCTGCATCACTCTGCCGGAACTAATCACGGGCATCAGCTACCGTGCAGCCTAATGCAGATAAGATTAGAGGCTGGGAACTGACCAGTTTTACTCAAGTGGGTAGCTGTCTGGATCCTTGCACCCATTTAAAATGCAGTTAGGGGAGCATCTAAGCAGAAGCCTTTTAACCTGCATTATTGGGTTGCAGTATTTATATGTGGCAGATGTTACTAATATAACAGAGATCAGGGTTAAGAAACTGCATTTTCCCCTCTTTTTGGCTCTGTAGAAAATATTGTGCTGTTACATGGAAATATTACTGCGTTTCACTTACATCTCGACACTCTCTTCCACCTCTAGGATAAGGAATCCTATATTATTATTTTGTAAAGTTTTAATGTGTTTGTTAATCCTACTGGGGTTAATTTGGCAGCATGGAGAAATGAGAGCAAGGTCTGGATAAGACATTTGAAGTGTTGGTGTTGTGCTTTTAGGCAATAAAGATCTGTAGTGGCCGGTGACTATTGCTGCTGATGCTGCAGCAGCATGTCCGATGCTTGTTTCCCAGTAAGATTGTATTAGAAGGCAGTTGAAAACTGGGGGAAAGAAAAAGATAGTCTTTTATAGAAAAAAGAGATGACTCAGTGTGGCAGAGAAGAAAACACTTCACAGTTGACATGTGACAAAGCAGTTAGCAGGAACCACAGCTAAATACTTAGTGTTTTTCACTTGTACCTAAAAAAAAAACTAAGGGAGGTGGGTTAGAAACCAGGAGTCAGGTAAGCCAGGGGGAGGGGAAGAGGAGAACGAGAATGCAAGAATGCATGTTTTGAATTAAACAGTGTCCTGAAAAATAGTGTGGGTGAACACAGGTAAAAATAGCAGCTGTCCTGAATTCAAAAGTAGATAATTTTATTTTCTCTGGGCAAATGCAACAAGCGGGGGATATTGAGTGTTTTTATCCACAGAGTTAACTTGCAAACAGTGGCAGAGCAAACTGCCATGTTTACTAATATGCAGTGGAAAATGTGTTGTAATATTTCGTGACTGTGTGTTTTTATTTACTGAAGAATAATATTGTCTATACAATTGTGTTGACAGTGGCTGTCTCCAAATAAGCGGTGAGATGTAATGCATCCTCCAGTCCATGCACGCTTCCTCTTGCAATCCGTGCATCATTCCTCAGTGGAAACCTTTAAACCCTAAAATTCAGGAAAAGAAAATAAATACATTATCATGGACCTGAGGGATTTTTACCTGTTGGCTGCTCTGATTGCCTGTTTAAGGCTGGATTCCGCAATAGCTCAAGAACTTATTTACACTATTAGAGAGGAATTGCCTGAAAATGTGCCCATAGGAAACATACCAAAGGATCTGAACATTTCTCACATCAATGCTGCCACAGGGACCAGTGCCAGCCTTGTCTACAGACTGGTTTCTAAAGCTGGGGATGCCCCTTTGGTGAAAGTGTCCAGTAGCACTGGGGAAATTTTCACAACCTCCAATAGAATAGACAGAGAAAAACTCTGTGCTGGAGCCTCTTATGCTGAGGAGAATGAGTGTTTCTTTGAACTTGAGGTGGTGATCCTCCCCAATGATTTTTTCAGGCTGATCAAAATAAAAATAATTGTTAAGGATACCAATGATAATGCCCCCATGTTTCCATCTCCTGTCATCAATATTTCCATTCCAGAAAACACTTTGATCAACAGCCGCTTTCCAATCCCATCAGCAACAGATCCGGACACAGGCTTCAATGGTGTACAGCACTATGAATTGTTAAATGGGCAGAGTGTTTTTGGACTGGATATTGTGGAAACTCCGGAGGGAGAAAAGTGGCCGCAATTGATTGTTCAGCAAAACTTGGACAGAGAACAGAAAGATACCTATGTGATGAAAATCAAAGTAGAGGATGGAGGCACTCCCCAGAAATCCAGCACTGCCATACTGCAGGTCACAGTAAGTGATGTAAATGACAACAGGCCAGTGTTTAAGGAGGGTCAAGTGGAGGTCCACATTCCAGAGAATGCTCCTGTCGGCACCTCTGTAATTCAGCTCCATGCCACGGATGCAGATATAGGCAGTAATGCTGAAATCCGGTACATTTTTGGTGCCCAGGTCGCCCCTGCTACCAAAAGACTCTTTGCTTTAAATAATACTACTGGGCTGATTACGGTTCAGAGGTCCCTAGATCGAGAGGAGACAGCCATTCACAAAGTGACAGTGCTGGCTAGTGATGGCAGCTCCACTCCTGCTCGAGCAACTGTTACCATCAATGTTACTGATGTCAATGATAACCCTCCTAACATAGACCTGAGGTACATTATAAGTCCCATCAATGGCACAGTGTATTTATCTGAGAAGGACCCTGTCAATACCAAGATTGCCCTAATTACAGTTTCAGATAAGGACACAGATGTGAATGGCAAAGTGATCTGTTTTATTGAAAGAGAGGTCCCATTTCATTTGAAGGCGGTATACGACAACCAATATTTGTTAGAGACCTCCTCTTTGTTGGACTATGAGGGCACCAAAGAATTCAGCTTTAAAATTGTTGCCTCTGATTCTGGGAAGCCCAGTTTAAATCAGACTGCCCTGGTAAGGGTTAAGCTTGAGGACGAAAATGACAACCCACCAATTTTCAACCAGCCTGTAATTGAGCTGTCAGTTTCTGAAAACAACCGACGAGGGTTATACTTAACAACTATTAGTGCTACAGATGAAGACAGTGGGAAAAATGCAGACATTGTTTATCAGCTTGGACCGAATGCCTCCTTCTTTGATCTGGACCGAAAGACAGGAGTTTTGACAGCCTCCAGAGTCTTTGACAGAGAGGAACAAGAGCGGTTCATTTTTACAGTGACTGCCAGGGACAATGGGACCCCTCCCCTCCAAAGCCAAGCAGCGGTGATAGTTACTGTTCTGGATGAGAATGACAATAGCCCCAAGTTTACTCATAATCATTTTCAATTTTTTGTGTCTGAGAATCTGCCAAAATATAGTACTGTGGGGGTAATCACAGTGACAGATGCAGATGCTGGCGAGAATAAAGCTGTGACTCTTTCCATCCTAAATGATAATGATAATTTTGTGTTGGATCCCTACTCTGGAGTCATAAAGTCAAATGTCTCATTTGATAGAGAGCAACAGAGTTCCTACACTTTTGATGTCAAAGCCACCGATGGAGGACAACCACCACGGTCCTCGACTGCAAAAGTAACCATCAATGTCATGGATGTCAATGACAACAGCCCAGTTGTCATTTCTCCACCTTCTAACACTTCTTTTAAGTTGGTGCCCCTCTCAGCCATTCCTGGCTCCGTGGTAGCAGAAGTTTTTGCCGTGGATATTGACACCGGGATGAACGCCGAACTGAAGTACACAATTGTGAGTGGGAACAACAAAGGCTTGTTTCGGATTGACCCAGTCACCGGTAACATTACCCTGGAAGAAAAACCGGCACCTACCGATGTGGGCTTGCACCGTTTGGTGGTCAACATAAGTGACCTGGGCTACCCTAAGTCTTTGCACACTCTTGTGCTGGTTTTTCTTTATGTTAATGACACTGCTGGAAATGCCACCTACATCTACGACTTGATTCGCAGGACTATGGAGACACCATTGGACAGGAACATAGGGGATAGCAGCCAGCCCTATCAGAATGAGGACTATCTCACCATCATGATCGCCATTGTCGCAGGTGCCATGGTGGTCATAGTCGTGATCTTCGTCACCGTGCTGGTGCGCTGTCGCCACGCATCCAGGTTCAAAGCAGCTCAGAGGAGCAAGCAAGGGGCTGAATGGATGTCCCCAAACCAGGAGAACAAACAAAATAAGAAAAAGAAAAGGAAGAAAAGGAAGTCTCCCAAGAGCTCTCTTTTAAACTTTGTGACAATTGAAGAGTCCAAACCCGATGATGCAGTTCACGAACCTATCAATGGGACCATAAGCCTGCCGGCTGAGCTGGAGGAGCAAAGTATAGGAAGATTTGACTGGGGCCCGGCACCGCCAACCACCTTCAAGCCTAACAGCCCTGACCTGGCCAAGCACTACAAATCTGCTTCTCCGCAGCCTGCTTTTCATCTTAAACCAGACACTCCAGTTTCTGTGAAAAAGCATCACGTGATTCAGGAACTCCCTTTGGACAACACCTTTGTCGGGGGTTGTGACACCCTTTCCAAACGCTCGTCCACTAGTTCAGATCACTTCAGTGCCTCAGAGTGCAGTTCCCAAGGAGGCTTCAAGACAAAGGGCCCCTTACACACCAGACAGGTAAACGAGCACTTTTACTGGTCTATAAGTACTGCATACAAGTGCCCAGTCAACCAGTATTAACGTGCCAGTGTGTCTGTTGTTTTGGTCTAACTTTAGCTTAGTTCTAAAGAGGGAAAAAAAAAAAAAAACTTGACCCCTTTTCTCTTCCTCTGGGGCTCAGTCAAGAATTTTTAGAACAGCTTTGAAATTTTCTGAGTTCTGAGAATTATTTAACTTCCCCGCTTCCTTCAAATGGCAAAAGATGAAAAGAGGAAATTATTCCAAAGTGTCCCAAGATAATGTTGGCTGAAGAAGAAAACCTGTCCTGATATGCCAAATTCTGCTCCTGGGGTTTCCAAATTGACTGCTTCAAGATTTTCACATTACCTTTTGATCTAAAAAGTCACCTTCAAATCTCAAGTTTTAAATGGCGTTTGAAGGTCTGACTGTAATTACGTTGGAGCTGTGGTTGCTAAAGGGGTTAATTTTTTTTTTTTAGTCTCTAAACAAGATAGTAGAATATTAAATGTACATCAGGTGTGAAGCACATGATTGTAGATAGATTGCAACTAAGCCATATAGGAAGTCTGCTTTTTGATTTCAGATGATTTTATTGTAATATGGTAAACTGGGTATTGAATAGAAAGATTTGCAGATTGTCCACAATGGCCAAAGTACTCTTGCAAAGGAAAAAAAAAAAAAAAAGAAGAAGGAATGCTGTCTCCCTGATCTAACTGATTTATACAGAAAAGAATGAATCCATTGTAAATATCCTCTCTTCTTAGTAATGCATAAGTGATCTGTCATAACTCATTTTAAACTGTGAAACACGCCATATGAAGAGGGATTAAGAGGCTGAGAAACTCATATTTCAACCAAATCCAGAATTAGTTTTTCCTAGGTCTAATAATTCCTTGTTAATAAAGATTTAAATGCAGCGCTGTCTAATTTATTTCACTGGTGCTTGTCTGTTGCCACGGAAGTTGAGTGTCAATAATAGCCTGTAGATGGCACTAGGGTATCATGTGCTGGCGCTGGCCAGGTGCCAATCCCGCAGTAGCAAGGATAGGGGGGAGGGAAGGATCAAGCTGGTACTACAGCCAAAGGATACTTTTTATTTAATGATAGTTGCTGTGGAGCAACTAGTATCTAAGTTCATTTGCTCGCTCTTTTGTGATTAGCTCTCACCACACCATCTTGGTAGCATTTCCCAGTCCAAGTTTTGATCTGTGTTGGTATTGAGTCCACCTTTGATGGTGGCCTATCTGAATGTGTAAGAAATAAGGAACATACAGATTTCAGAAAATCCAGTAAAGCACAATAAATTTGCAGGTACTATTTATTGACAGTCATTGATTAGTGATTGAAAAGTCAAGAGTCTTTTTCCTCCCCCCACCCACCCCCTGCTTTTTTGTGTGTGGGAGTGGGTGGGTAGAATGTTATATTGAAACTCCATTTCCTTCTCAGCTTCTAGTGTTTATTGCTCTGGAGTAACTTTAAGATTTTGTGGTTACTTATAAAAATAATTTTGATAATGAATCACATAGATACTCCCAGATCATTAAATATAATGCCTGGGCGTATACAACCAAAATGTCCATTTCTTAAAGAAAAAAAATACCTAGAGCAATTTAAAAGTATACTTAGAGCTGGAATACACAGAAAGAAAGGAACTGAAGAGTCAGCATAGAAGTTCTAGAGGATAATGTGAAGTTATTAGATAAAACTTGCAGTTGGAATGACTTATTTGCAGATTAAATTTATTCACTTTTTAAAAGAAGTTGAAGTTTTAAAATTTAGAACATTTCTGAGCTTACTAATGGCTTATAAAAGTTGGTAAACAGTTAATCATGGTAAGAAAAAGTAATTTATGAAACTAAGTGGATTTAAATATAAAGTTGCTATTTTAATGAAAAGAAAGAAAATGCCTTTTTTTATTATTGTCTTTTAATGTGAAGGTCACTCACAACATACTGATGATACTATACTAATTTGCATAATATCTTGACAAAACTAACATGATTTAAACTTTTCATACAAAACCAGAAATGTGTTTTCCAAAGAAACATACCAATATTCTTCCCATATCATCTTTCTTTTCATTCGAGTGTGGTAGTTGTTAGCATTAATATATAGACCCACTTTTTCTGATGTTGCCCCAAAAGTTGAAATTCTAGTACAGGGCCATAGATGTTAAGTGCACTTTAGCAAAGTGCGGCAAAGAGCTGTGGTGGAGGCTTAGTCAGTCATAAGAATATTTGTTTGTATGATGTCATCTTTGAAATAGGATGCTGAGTAATTCTCTAACTGGAACCAGAGAGCAATTTAGACATTCCTTGAGGCCATGTGTCACTGCGCAATTCTCCTTGTAGGCATTTTGATGTTCCTATGTAGCTATAATTCACTGTTATGATAAAGAGCTATCGTAATGGCTTTGCTTCTACCTTTTAGAAGTTATCATGTTGAAAAAGAGAAATCGTGCTGTTGGAGAAAAGGAATATCAGGAGTAAGAAGAGATGGTGGTGATAGCAATGGGTATAATTTTAGTATGAAGAGGCATCTTTTCTGTGAATAAGAACATAAATTATATGCTATTCTTTTAGGTTTTTTTTTTCTCTATATAATTGTTATCTGAAGATGTTCTATTGAAACTAAAAAGTAAAAATTCTTTTTTTTTTTTCTTAGCTCATTTACTTCATTTGGTGGCTTTTATGCTAAATGTGCTCCTGAAGCTACACAGTTTTGAAAAGTGGGAATTATTACCACAAAAGCTTTCAAAGAAATTCATAAAGTAACATATAATCTATGAAGATTTTTAGTTGAGTAGGCACAGCTTGCTGTGCACAGGAACACTTTTTCCCTTAATGCTGCTCCTCGATGCCTGGGTAATTGCAAGAGTCCTGAGTGAGGGCTACCAGATCTCCGTATCATTAACCCGTATTGTCTGTACAGTCCAAACATAACGTCTGACTTCTATACCATGAGTTTGCTTGTAGTGCATTGATTGTCATTTTGTCTTCTTTCCTCTTGCTGTTTTCCCTTGTGTGACCCTCCAGAGGTTGTGTGAAATGATGGTCAACCACATCCCTCATCCACTCTTGTCTACTAAGCTTTTCTTTTCCTTATGTATAACCAGTCTGTCACTGAAGTGTCCACAGATGATCTTTTATGAATTTTTCAAAGGACCCTTAGCATTCACAGATTGAGTGGAATTTTCTTTTTCAAAGCAAAATTGTGTCTTGATATTTATTCATAAATAAGCCAAGTTCATTGTTATAGGGTTAAGAGAATGACACTATAATTAATCAGTAGAGCTTTCAATGGGAACTTGCCTTGGTGCATTTTCTCTGAAAGAAAAAGATATTCTTGATGGATGTGACTTTTAAAATATGATATTTAGTTCTCAAATGTTAGGCTTTCTCGAAACCACCTGAGGGTTTCTTAAATTGGCTGGTTGAGCCATGCTCCCAGAGGTTCTGAATCGGTGCCCGCTGGTGTCCAGCCTGAAAATTGACATCGCTGACAAGACCCTAGGTGATGCTGATGCTGCTGGTTCAGGGAGCCCACTTTGAGAACCAGTGCCTCAGCACCCAGGCACAGGAGATGTCTGCTCCTGTCCCTTTCAGATGATCACCTCCAGAGGACCTGTTTTTCCACAGCCCAACTCAGCTCACTATTGACAGCCATTTATTGTAGCTGGAGGCTTTACAGTAAGCTGTTTATTGCCGTCTCCCAACCCAGTTGACAGCTTTAGGGAATTAATTTTCTTGGCCCCAGTGTGCTTTTTTGTGGGGGCATAAATGAAAATGTTAAAGGAAAAAAAGTGACCTGTTTACATTTGATAACTTCTTTCAGTCATGAAACAATCTGTGAGAGTTGTACTAGAATCTGGTGGGTAAACAGTCATGTTTCATTTTCTAAATGAAATGCTCCTTTTAGAGCTTAAACATCCTTACTTTACTTTTCACAATCTAGAGTATTTACTAGCATATACATTTGTGTGCATATTGAAGAAATTATACATTGAAAAGATGTATGCATGCTGTACTCAAGTGTTTACATGTACTTCTGCAGTATAAAGGGAATTGCTTCTATTCCCAATCATTTAGAGATACTATATTACATTTATGATTACTTTTCATTTCTGAGTAATCCCGCTACAACCACTACCAAAGTGCTGTTCTGTCATGTAAAATGCGCAAGACAGTCGTAGAATTGCTGTTTTAGAAGTGTGAGAAAAAAAATGCAGTGGAAACTGAAGGGAGGGAGATGTTAACTAATGTGAGGCTAGCAAAAACTTTAAGATATTTTAAACTACAAAATGTTGTGGTATATTGTGACGGTTGAACACAGGTGACATTTGGAGAAAAATTCTTCCCCCAAATGCAAATTACATTTAAAATGTTACCAGTTATGATTTTTCTTTTTATTTTTTTTTCCTTTTGGCTGAGTCCTCTAGGATGATGAAATTTGTGAGTGAGATAGAGCACACCCAGACCCCTTATGTAATGATTTAGGAATTTGAAACACAGATGGGTCATCCATTTGAACTGGCTACCTTTCTTCTGGGGTTTGTGAGACAGATCTTTTATATATTTTGTGCAATGATACATCTAAGCTGTAAAATATAAAGTATATTTTAGCATTGATTGCTAATAACCTTAGGGAAGGTAAAATAAAAAGTTGCCACTGTATTAAGCATAACAATATCTACAGATTCCTGAGCATTTATTAACGTACAGAAAATAAATATCTGTAGTCAAAATAGTCTATTACCTTATTTTCTAAACTTTGTTACAATTAATTCCATATATAAAAACACTGTAAATTGATGTTCCCCGAGTTTCAGATGAGTCATCCTTATGGTGTCACAGAGCACGGTTTAGCATCATTATAATCACCTTGTAAATGTTGTACTTGAAATAATATGTTATATTCTTAGGATATATGCACAGTGTTATTAGTTAAATATTCAGCTTCTTATAATAGCACACATTAAATTAAAATTAAAACAGATA